ACAAGATCACCAATATAAACATTGGTGGTGAAGAAGCGAGTGCTGATCGTGCTGCGGCTCGGGAATTTCCTCCGTTTTTACGTGAGATTATGGAGGAAGGACAGTACAGTGACGACCAGGTGTTTAACATGGACGAATCTGGTCTTTTCTGGAAAAAGCTACCTTCCAAGTCCTTCGTTGTGAAGAATGCCAGCAGGATTCGGGGCCGGAAAATGCAGAAGGAACGCATCACCGTCCTGTTTACCACCAATGCCTCCGGTACCTGTAAGCTCAAGTTATCGGTGATCCACACAGCCGCAAGCCGCACGCCTACAAGAGCATGGACATGACCAAGCTAAATGTCCACTGGCTGACCGCACGTAAGGCATGGATGTTCTCTACACTGTCCCTCTCCTGGTTTGATGACTGTTTTGTTCCCGATGTAAAGAAATTCTGTGAGCGACAGAATGTCCCATTTAATATTTTGTTGCTGCTGGACAACGCACCAGGACACTCGCCCCTACTGTTAGATCGTCACCCCAACGTAAAAGTGGTCTTCCTTCCTCCCAACACTACGTCTTTAATCCAGCCCATGGACCAGGAGTTGATTTGCAATGTGAAAGCTGCATTCTCAACAAAAAAATTCCAGCTCCTGAACGACTACACCAACACCAGGGAAGAGTTGCGTAACCTGAGTGACACCACCACCGATAGCAAGAGCGAAGAAGATGAGGATCAACAGTTAGAACAGCAAAAAATACTCTTCAAACAATTCTGGAGAGTATTTAACATCAAGAAAGCTGTGGACTTCTTGGTGGAGTCATGGGATCAGCTGTCTATTGCTACAATTCGTCACGCATGGAGACATGTGTTGCATGGAATACCAGGTGAGAGGAGGAGTCAATCTGTGACTGGTGAGGTTCAGAATGTTGCAGTAGCAGTGGACCTTGCCAGAGAAGCTGCGCAGACTGTTACAGTTCCAGGCTTCTCCGAGACCACCAACGACGACATCCTGGAGGTGATCAGAGATCCTGAAGTGACTGCCGACGAGATGTTGGAAGAAGAACACGTCAGTGAAGAGGAGGAAGAAGGTGCGTCATTCTCCGAAGAACACAATTTAAGTCATAGTGATATTAAGGGTGCCATGGAGTGTGCAGAGAAGATGAAGTCCTTCCTTTCCCGCGACAATGACGATGACCGCTATGAAGTCTTCCATACCCGGCTGGTGCAGGCTATGGAGCCGTACATCAAGGTGTATCACGACAACATCAACGCCAGCCGTCAGCAAAGCATAACAGATTTCTTCGCCTGCAACCCACCACAACCAGCCCAAGCCAGTGATAGTGGCAGTGAAGATGACTTTGAGGGATTTGTCAGGGAAGCCCTGACAACTGTAAGTGACAGTGATGGTGATTCACCTAGTAATGGTGATTCACCTGAGGGCCAGTAATCTGCCCTCTGCCTCGGAACCAGCCTCCATCCCCGTATGCCGACCCATCTCTTCTACTACCGTGAGTGTTACACCTAATTTTTAGTTTTCTAACCTAACCTTTATTTTTCCTATGTTAACCTTTATCTTTCCTAACCTAACCTCTTCTATATTACTTGTTTTTTCATACCATCATAAAGTTAAGATAAAATTTTTACTACAACATAGTTGTGTGTCGTCAAAAAGTGGAGTTTGGGGATCGGCCCGGACTCCATTTCAATTAATCCTATATGTTATGTTATTCACTTCGCGGAGTTTGGGGATCGGCGGACTCCATTTCAATTTCTATATGTTATTTATTCACTTCTTGAGACCCTCCGGTTTACATTAACGTAAGTGAGGTGCTGTATTATTATTACTGTATTATTATTATTATTATTATTATTATTATTATTATTATTATTATTATTATTATTATTATACCTTACTATCAGACATCAAGGATTTCAATATTTCCTCAATATCCTCAACATGAATTATTTTCACATAAACCTGTGTATTATTGGCATAAAAATGGTAGGCTACACCATGAGCATCCAGCAGAGATGCAAGACTATTGGTATAGACTGTAAACAAAGGTGTTCCCAAAACTGATCCCTGTGGGACTCTAAACTGCAAAGAGACCGGGCCTGAAATGGTTCCACCAACCATCATACATTGAGATCGCACTGACAAATAAGACCCGAGCAGTAAGAGTGCGTTCTCACGGACACTAAACGACCAAAGATCCTGAAGAAACAGATGATGATCCACCGTGTTAAAACATGCAGATATCCATTAAGACTAGAAGGGGGGACTTTCCTGCACAAGTATTTATTACTGAATTGTTTTATGAATTTTACATAGGCAGTTTCAGTTGATAGATGCCTCCTACAAGCTGGGACCAGAGAGGGGGTCTGCCCATATCGTCAACAACCTGCTTCGTCACAAGACCAGACTTGACCAACACTGGAGCAGGTTCAGGTATAGTCAGGAGACGGTGCATGCCCAATACTTGCCAACAGTGAGTAACAGAGACGTGACCGATATCCCAAGAGGCTAACGAGCTGATCATTTGGTGAAGAGGATAAAAGTAAAAAAAAAAAGGAGTAAAAAGAATTGTGGGGTACGTGATATTTGTTCACACTCAGGATGGGATGGAGAAAGGAAACTCACAATGTGCTCTCTGTACACATGTTGTATTGGATGTACAGTGCAGCTTGGTGCTGGGAAGGCAGCATGGTTACAAGCGTTGAGTAGAGAGAGCTGGTTGGTGAGGGTGCTCAGAGGAGGACCAGCTTGTGGGTTGCCATGGTCGCCGGCGGGAGCGAGGGCCGCCAGGCAGGCGGAGGAGGAGGTGTTGCTTGCTGGTGGCTGTAGGTAGTAAGAGAGAGGTCACCACGAGGTGAGGTCTTATATAGCAGAGGTAGGCGTGGCTTAATAGTTGACCTCAGTCATGTAAGGCGGCGCTGGTTGCTGACCTAGACACGAGGGCAGGCTGGTGAAATCATGGGTCGGCTAGTCGGCGAGAAACAGCGTTTGTAGGGGAGGAATCCACTACACTGTTAATGAATATGATGTATTTCTTTGTGTATGAACCTCTGTCCTGCGTGGCAGTGAGAAGTGATACCACCCTCAGTGTCAAGACCTGACTGAATTACTCAGAATCAGTGCCGGATTTAGACCTGTGGAGGCCCATGGGCATCCTCTTTGTGGAGGCCCCCCTCATTATAACTACCCAAGAGGGTGGGGTGGCGAGTGAAGCAAGCCTAAACATCTGGGAGTTCCGGGGGGGGCGCTATAAGCCCCCCGGGAAAAATTTGAAATTTGAACACTTCTTTGGAGAATTTTGAAGCCATATGCAGTTATATTGAGGAAATTAGAACATATTGTATTATGTGGAGGCCCCTGGGCAGCTGCCCACTTTGCCCACTCCTGAATCCGGCCCTGCTCAGAATAGGCATACTGTACTACAAGCTTTGCCAATAAATTTGTTAATCTAAAAAACAATAGTCTGTTACGCACTGTTGTGGGCATGTACTGGCTCTGTTACGCACTGTGCCAAATACTGGACATGCACTGGCTCCTTAATGTATCTGAACCTGCTCCAGTGCTTATCCAGTCTGAGCACAAGCTAAAATCGTGCACAAAAAAAGCAAATCATGGCAGACAAGTCCAGCTCTGGACGCTGTGGGATGAATATGAAGAAAAATATTACCACTTCTAATTTCCCCCAAAATTTCAGTCTTCTTCCAAGCTTGCATGCGTACTTACAATGTTTTTATTTTATTTATTTTCAATCTTTCACACATGATTTAAGTGAGATGATTGCAGGCGTATTAACAATGTTTTTATTTTATATTTTCGTCTTTAATAATTTGTCTTAATATTGTTCATTATTTTATATCCCAAGATCCCAAGAACCAGTTATTTCCGTTTTTATAATGATGGGAATGAAGGGGGTGACGAAAGTGGTAAAGCAGTGGTTACGAAACAAGTTAAAAATAGTTGTGACGAAGCTGGTTGTTGACGATATGGGCAGACCCCATCCATCCATCCATCCATCTATCTGTTGGTTTGTTTCTTGTAAATAAAGTTTAAATAGCGCGGGAAAATGTTGCCACACGTTGCCAACTTAGCGACTTTGTAGCTAGATCTAGAGCTTTTAGTTTTGTTCTAGCGACATTTTAGAGCGATTTGCGACTCTAGAGATATCCACAGAAATCTAGCGACTTTCTGGATACTTTTGGACTGTCCATGAAAACTCAGTTTTCCTAATTTCGAGCCATAATATATAGCAACGGGGTTACAGGGACAATAAATAATAAGAAAAGTTTAATACATTTGAACGGGTCGTGGTACAGAAGGAGGGACACGTCTATTTCCTGATCACTTGATGTCAGCCCGTCCATGGCTAATGTTGCTGTGTCGTCATTTATTTGTCTATTACCTTCGCCTTTGTAGCACCTGGGTAACTTATCTTTTTGTCAGATATGCAATATGAATTTCATTAATACGCTAAATTTTAAAGAATATTAGCAAAACATCTTATAGAATTAATTCTCAAGCCTGCGTGGTTCCAAACTTGTCATCCGCGTCCACCATGGGTGACCCATAGACTCCATACAGTTGCCCCGACACTGTTCACCCGCTTTGCCAAAAACCATCAAGGAAAGTTTCCGCTTGTTTGCATGCTGTTTATTAATTTGAACCCTTCATGGTCCCAATAGAAAATGGGTAAGCCACAGTATTTGCAGCGATTTAGGAAGGAATGGCTCAGAGATGACAGATACAAAAATTGGCTTCTGGAGATGCCAGGAGATAATAAAAAAGGATTTTGTAAATTTTGCAAGTGTACTTTGTCTGCTGAGTTGTGCGACATTGAAAAACACAAAAGCACTAAAAAACACAAGAAAGCACAAGAGCCGTTTAGTGCAGAAAGACAGACAATTTTACCATTCAAGAAACTTGGGAATAATAGCTAGCGACTTTCCATGGAAGATTTAGCGACATTTAGCTTCTTCTAGGTACCAGCCCAGCGACACTTGAAGACCCGAGTTGGCAACACTGCACACGCCACTTTGTTGTAGATGACGTCATCAGACAAACAAAAGGAAGGTAACTAAAATCATTTTAATTTCATTATGAATCATTTTTATGTTATTTAAACTAAACGTCATGAGTTAATACTGTACAAAGATGTGTAGTAGTTGTTTAGTTTGAGTTTGAGAAGGCAAATAGTTAGTTACAGTGAGATTATTGTGAATTAATGTTGAATAATTGCTAGACTTTCCCTCATACGATCATTTCGACATGATAAATTGTTTTTGTGTATTTTGGTGTTTCAACCAGATGTGACCTTCGTTTCTTGCGGAAATAAACTGTTTTGAATTGTTTCTATTTTTCTAGAAAATTGAAAAACACTCAAAACGGCTGTTTTCACAAGAAACGAAGGTCAAATTTGGGTAAATTTTTACTTATGCACTTGTCTTTGTTTGGATATTAAAAATATGTTTCTTCCATTGATATTTGATAAGTTTCGAACGATTTTGATATTCATTTCAGCCGGAAATCACTAATTTTTTAGATACCCCCCCCCAACAATAATGGGGGAGAGACGAGCCTATGAAATCGGGGCTTTTGGGTGGGGGGAAAACGAATCATCTAACCTAACAAAACCTAACCTAACCTAAGAAAACCCAACCCAACCTAACCTAACCTAACAAAACAAAACCTAACCAAGCAAAACCTAACTTAACAAAACCCAACCTAACCTAACCACTAGCTCCCGGTAGGCCTGGTTTTTTTGGGTGGGGAAGAAAACGAATTATTTAATCTAACCATTGTTCATGTCCCCCACATCTTGGACAAAGAACGTTGTTCAGTAATACACTGTATTTTTCTAAAAAAAAAAAAAAATGCCTTTATCGCCTACCTCACCTCCCACTCAGCATGTTCCCTCCATAAATCGCCATTTGCATGCGTTCCTGTACACGTCACGCACCCAATCAAAAGTGTTCTTTTTCCTTGCCACCAATTAAAATTAATTTTAGTTTCTGCTTTTAGAATTTGTGGTATTTTTTGCCCAATAAGATTCAATTTTGATTTTGGGTCATGTTTCGAAATTCAAATTCATTTCCGTCCATTGAAGTCTGTAATGGGTGTCACTTCAATCCTATGGAGTTAATTGTGCATTTTGGGGGGAAAACTAACAAGCTGTAGCATTTTTTAGATCTCATGGTGTTCTCCCGACCTCATTAAAGATTATAATTCGGATTAAGGTAAGAAATAACAGTGATTCCCTCATATGGTGAGTCGGGTTATGTAAAAACACCGTAAGAATTAGGAGGTCAGGTTAGGAATGGACAGGCTAGGTCAGGACAGGTTAGAGACAGGTTAGGTTAGGTTTGTTTGTTTTTCTAGTGTTTTTTGGTGTGTTTGGCATTCAATTGGCCAAGATTTTTTGTCGGAAAATGCCTGTTTCTCTCCCCCACCCAACACCCCAGTTCCCAACAGGATCCCTCATCTTGTTGTGAGTAGAAGGGGGCGATAACTAAAAAAACAGGCAATTTCCGACAGAAATCAAGGTCAGAACCAATCAAAACACACAAAAATACAGTACACTAGAAAAACATAATTTTGACTTTCTAACAAAGTTGTGTGAACTTCTTGGTTGTAGCCTGCTATTACTTTAAAATGTTTCAGGTTGCACTGGGAGCAAACGTCTACCATGGCTATTTTTGAAAAGTGGTGAAGGTGACGCGGATTGATACCAAATTTTGAAATATGTCTTTATTGCACATGACCCCGACCTCAGGTTACGGTGTTGCTCAAGTGCAGATAACGGCTGCTACCACAACGTCACGGTAAACACCGCTGAACTAATATTTACACAATGAAAGTGTTATGTGGGAAAAACTAATATTACGGTAACCTTTATGGTAAATAAAACACTAGGTTGCTACATCCAAGCTTTACTTGACTCATTTCACTACATATCTGAAATAACACAAAAGCAAATATTGTAATAATTCAAAGAGGAAACAACAATGAACAGTATTACCGTATTTTCCATAATGATATTTTAAAATATCACAACCTTTATGTTATTTATGGATAGTTGTTTTGTGGTTAAAGTGTGGTAGTAGATGTGGTGGTAGTAGGCAGCTACCAAACAGGGAGGTACTACTGCCTGGGAAGATATTGGAAGCATAATGTGTTGTCTAATGGTAGATCCTGCTGCCATATGGCATCACGAATATTGTGACCAAGTCCCAGGTTGCTGATCTGACTTTCTGCCTCATTTACACACAATTGTAGGGTCTCAATTGTTTCTCTTACCATTGACAACACAACATACATACGGTATATCGTTTCTCACTTTTGATCTTTTTTTTTTTATTTTGTATTTATAGTTCTTTATTATTAATATTATTATTATTACAGTTACTGTATTATCATCATTATTTTATTACGATATTTTATTTTTGTTTGTTTTATCATAAATTTTATTTATTATGAATTATTATGACTATTATTTATTATTTATTATTATTATTATTATTATTATTATTATTATTATTATTATTATTATTATTATTATTATTATTATTATTATCATTATTGTTATTATTAATATTATTATTATTATTATTATTATTATTATTATTATTATTATTATTATTATTATTATTATTATTATTACATTTTCGCCCCCCCCAGGCCCCGACGTGGGTCAGTGACCTGTGTCCGGGTGGGCTAATCCCCCGGTGGATTTGGCATCCTGTGTACCGCCATCAAGGCCGTGGGCTTGTCTTGCCCACGGTGCCCACCGTTTCTCTGTGGATGTCCGTCACACTATAATAACCTGTTATAGTACAGTTGTACCCGCTTAACGCGGTCAATTGAACCCACAGGGTACCGCGTGAAGTGAAAACCCCGTTAAGTGAACAACAGAACATATGGGATTAATTCCAATAGAGACTGGCCTGACCCCCAAACTCCACTTTTTGACGACACACAACTATGTTGTAGTAAAAATATTATCTTAACTTTATGATGGTATGCACACACAATTAATAATTATGAGAAATATCAATAATATTAGGTTTTTTAACACTTACATTAGTAGAAAAGATGGCTGGGCACACGGGGATGGGGGGTTGGTTCCGAGGCAGAGGGCAGATTATTGGCCCTCACCTGTATCACTTGTATCAATTGTATCACTATCCACCACAGAGGCTTGCAGGGCCTCTTTGTCAAACCCCTCAAAGTCCGTATAAGTCCATATCCTCACTATAATTATCACTATCACTGACTTGGGCCGGCTGTGGTGGGTGGCGGGTGAAGAACTCGGTAATGTTTTGATGACTGGGCGACCTTGTGCGCATCGTGCCTGCGCCGCTTCCCGCGTATATGAGTAGATGAACCGCGTTAAGTGAAAGTTCGGTTCTGGCGAGGCACTGCGTATATGAGAAATCGCGTTAAGTGAAACCGCGTTAAGCGGGGTACAACTGTACCTCCTTCTTTCCTCACACAGCCAAACTGTGGAATGCTCTGCCTTCTGTGTTTCCATTCTCATACAATCTGTCTCACTTTAAAAAGCTGGTTTTCCAGCATCTTCGTGGTGTAGATTAATGCAGTAGAACGTCGATTTAAAGCGATTCAATTTACGATTATTGATTTAAAGCGACACCCACAATTAAGGACAATGTTTTAATTTAAAGCAAATCTTTCCTATTTTGTGCGAGTCAATCTGGCGCATCATATTTAAAATTTGCGCCTAATGTTTCTCTGGGCACGCTACACTGTCCTTAGGGCAAAACTGTACTGTACATGTACTCAAAATAATGTACTAAATGATTACTAAAATTTTTGTCTAGTGCAAACTATAGCATGTTTATATTCAAATTAATCACTAGCTTATAAGAATTCCAGCAATGTAAATTATTTTCTCCCCTGTCACTTCTGTGACATTTTATTAACAAAAAACAAAACTCAATCTAAAGGACATAATTAAACAAATAAATACTCACTAGACCTTTGGCACCAACTGTCAAACATGTCACTGTCACCTCCCCTCCCTCCCTCCCATCTTCCCAGCCAGGGTTTGGTGTTTTAGGCTTAAAATTTTATCTTATATAATGTCACAGACTAAAGTTAGGAGAATATAATTTGTATTGCTGGAATCTTTGCAAGACAGCGAATAATTTGAATATAAACGTGATATATTTTGCACAAGAGATTACAATTTTAGCTCTTTGTAATAAAATTCTTAAATTAGAGCTAAAATTTGTATGTCTAATGCGAGCTATAGCATGTTTATATTCAAATTAATCTCTATCTTATAAGAATTCCGGCAATGTTAATTATATTCTCCCATGTCAGTTCAGTGACATTTTATAAGAGAAAAACTTAAAGTCGCTCTTAAGGACAGATAAATAAATAAGCACTAGACCTTGGCATTAACTGTCAAACATATCACCTCACCTCCCCCCCCCCCTCCTCCCCTCATCTTCCCAGCCAGTAAACAGATCATTTCCCATCCCTTAATTTTAGCTGTGTTGATTTATGAGTGTTTGTTTTAACAACATAATACAGGTTGTACCTCTCTAGTCAGGCATACTGTGGTCCGGAACGATTTTAGTTTGTCCAATAGGTAGATAGGCAGCTTTTTTTTTTTCTTTTTACTTATCTGAATTATTATTATTATTATTACAGGAGTATTAAATTTTTGCCCCTCAGGCCCTAATGTGGGTCAGTGACCTATTCCCGGGTGGGCTAATCCCCTTACAAAAAAAACCCGCGGGTAATTAAGGTTTGTTTACATCCGGCAGTTCGGCTGCTCTCTCTCTCTGCTTGTCTATACAGAGTACAACATTTAACCCTTCAATATATATGAGCAGTAAATAAGTGTTGCTTTCATATTCTTATGTAGAGTAATGACGATATGTTTTCACATGTGCGCACTTACATACGAGCAGTCTCACTTTTTTTTTTACCATTAATGGTTAGCTACTTATATTGTTCCATTTATTAACATTAAATAACATTACAGGTACTTCAAACAACCATATTAATTTTTTTACATTAATTTTACTACAGCTAAACTCAGGGTC